AGCACCATCACATTTTTGTCCAAACCCCCCCACAGAAATGTACTCCTATATCCATAGACACTTGTTATATATACACACGCAAAAAGGTTGGAACGCACTTCTCTCTGCCACACACCTGACCCCCTCACGGGCAGCAGCCATTATGCCGCAGAGAGAACACGGCAGGAGTTCCATAAATGTGTGTTGCATCGAGGCATCCTTTTTTTTTTTTTTGTCTTGATTGGATCAGAATTTTGCTGCCAGATACTCCAGGTTTTAATATCACCTTCAGCCAGGGACACTCAATCCACATTCCTCCCCCTACTCCACTGGGACATTGGGCAATGTCTGGAGACATGATTCGTTTTCCCAGCAGCGGGGAAAGGACGGCGTGTGTTACCGGTTTATCTAGTGGGTAGAGGCCAGGGATGCTGCCAATCATCATGCAAAGCGCAGGAGGCCTCAAAACCAAAGGCTTACCCAGCTAACGCTGCCAACAGGGCTGAGAATGAGAAACCCTGCTCACCACGGGCCTGTCTCATAAGCTTGTTGAACACCCCCACCTCCTTCCTGGAGGATTATGTGCTGTCAGATGACCATGGCCTCTCTGGGAGACAGCACATCATTAAGTGTTTGGGTTTGAAGAGAAGCTGGCGCCGTCTAGCAGACTTCGATGGCCAATCAGGGTGGACTCCAGCTCTCTGTTCGCTACCGCAAGGCTCTCTGGGTGGCATCAGACACATTTGGAGGAAGCAAAGGCAGAGGATCTGAGCAATCTCCCTGGTACTTTCCAGGCCAGTCATCGCACATCACAGGATCCCAGCCTGTCCTCGCTGGCACCCTCTGTGGTGCTGATTAGGTTTCAGACTACATTAAGAAAATTGGGTTTTACAGGGAGTAGATTTTTCTAAAATGAAGTGCTCACATTCAAGAATGCCCCCCAAGTGGGAGGTGACTTTCAATTGCATTGTATTTAATTGAAGGCATTTCTCAGAAGAAATGGAATAATAAAGAGTGTCACCTGAAGGTCTACTAACCAACCCCACGCCAGGGGCTAAAATGAAAGGTTTCCAACGGAAAGGAAAGGAAGCACATTGCTCCCAACCCCGACTAGTCATATTTTGCCTGCAGCACAAAGCATTTTAATGTTCATTATACTTTCTCTTGGTAGAAAAACGGCTTTTCTCAAACCAGAGACAATTAACATGATACTAAACTTTTATTAGTGAGAGGCATTTAGGACTCAAACTTTTCTAATCTTAGAACATACTGGATAACATTAAAATTTTTTTAAAACCTACACAATTCAAGGAAGCTCATAATTTACAAATTCAAAGCGCATTTCCTTCATGCAACAAATATCTTTAATATAGACATATTTTATTAGGCAAGTACAGAGCCCTTCAAATAGCTTGAAGAGACAGTTTCTCTCTGAAGACAATTTCCCTTTATAAGTATCTGTGTCATAGAGGTCTGAGTAAGTGTAGGGAATAGAGAAAACTATGCAAAGAGCAACAAAATTATGAGAGAGGAATATCCTTTCATCTGACATAATTCAAACCACTTGTTTGACAGCATTAATCATGTTCTTTCAAAACAAATCAAAGAACGTTGCTTTATACTTCCCAAAGACTTTCGTTTTGGATGAGTCAAAGTGGCCTCCAAATGCCATAATCCCTCACTCTTCAAATTGGGGAATGTAACCAAGAACTAGCTTCTGCAATTTTCTATTCTCTTGGCTCAATAGAAAGTTTTGCCTGAATCTGAACATCCTAGAACCATCTTAAAGAAGAAATCTACGTAAGCAGGGAACTGAAAACAGTTTAACTTTGAAATTTCAGGGCCCAATTTAGCAGGAAGCAAAGGGAACAAAAGAAGGATGGGTGTCTTAGAAGCTGCTGGAAATGAGGTTAGCACAGAAATGAAACAAGCTCACAGATGGATTGAGGTGTGAAAACTCATTGCTCAAGTACCAGGGGCAGAATGGTGATGTCAAACAAAGATCCTCAGTCACCCACCACCTCATCTGAGTTTTACAGAAAAACTCAACATCTTCTCATTCTTCTTAAACTTACACTTTAATAATATAATCCTTACTGAAACAGGACAATATATAACTTCAACCTACTAACAGAGAGAAAACACTCATTTCTTGTTGTTATTATACAAGTTCCCTTAGATTCTCATGGGCATTATTTCCTGTGAATGTTTCTATTCTGAGATACTTTCTCCATGGTAGGAATCAGAATAGAGATCACAAAACTGAAGTATCTGCAGGGCTTAGGAAGGTACCACACAGGGGTAAAGTGGGCTTTGAGGAGACGAGGGTGACTTATAGAGGTCAAACTGTCTAGAAAGAATGCCAGCTCTCAATGCAATGGCCAAAACACCATTCCTGGCAGAAATGAGAATTCAGATCCTCAAATTTTCATGATTTTTTAAAAGAATACTTTATTGATTTTTAGAGAAACATTGATGTGAGAGCCCAACATCATTCAGCTGCTTCCTATGCCTTCCCCTCTACTCCCTCTCCCCCCAACAACACACATCACTGGGAATTTGAGCCCACAATCTGGACATCCAACTGACAACCCTTTAAAGCCCAGTGGGAGATATACAGGAGGCACCCAACTGAACATCATCAGTTGGATGGCACCCAACCAACTGAGCCACAATGGCCAGGGCCATAAGCATAAACTCTTAACTAAAAATTTCCAATTATTGTATTAAGCATTAGTAATTAAAGTGTTTTTTTCCTCATGGCTCTAGAATTTTATTTTTTTTATTGCATTTATTGGGGTGACATTGGTTAATGAAATTATACAGATTTCAGGTGTATAACACATCATCTGTATATTGTATTGTGTGTTCACCACCCCCAAGTCAAGTCTCCTTCCATCACCATTTATCCCCCCATGCCCTCCTCTACCTCCCCCCTCTTATTGACTAAGTCAGAAGTTTAAACAATGCTTTGCTGGCTAAAGAAGCCTTGCCCTGTGTGGTTGATTTCATCAGCCAATTTGCAACCTCAGTATTGGAAGAAAAAAGTAAGAAATGGCCAATCAAAGCGATGTTATCAGGGTCCCACCCTTAAATTGTTGGTGAATTCTTGGGTCTATCTTTTTATTTTTTTTTTAAATATTTTTTTTATTGATTTTTAGTGAGAGAGGAAGAGAGAAGGAGAGACAGATAGAAACTCCAATGAGAGAGGAACATCATCAGTTGGGTGCCTCCTGTATATCTCCCACTGGGAATCAAGCCTACAACCTGGGCATGTGCCCTGATAGGGAATCAAACCAGTGACCTTTTGGTTCCTACACTGACACTCAGCCACTGAGCTACACTGGCCAGGTTTTTGGGTCTTTCTTATCATAAAGAACTTTTTCTACATATGTAATACTTTCAACAATAAAGAGTTATTTAAAAAAGAAAAGAACTTTTTCTAAAAGCACAACCACATCTAAAGTTCCTTACTTAAAATTTCAGGGCTTTTTAAGTTTCAAAACATTCTGTCAGACATAAAAAGCTGCAGAACAAGAAGCTCTCTGTGTCAGAGGAAGGGAACAGTGGTCAAACACTTAAGATCCTGGTAAACCTGCCTCTTAAAGATGTGCTAGTGTAGTAACCAGCTCGCTAATATTAATAATAGTTAAGGAGCAGAGGGAAGGCCAGATATAAGCAAGGCCACCTGGGCAGCTTCACCAGGAAGCTGCAACTTCACACTCCCCGGGGAGCCACCTGTCCATGCCCTGCACATCACGGGGGGGAGGGGGAAGGAAGGAGATACGGGAGGGGGGGAAAGAAAAGGGGGATAGGCGCATGTGCAGTGAAGTCTGGGTCACATGGGGAGGATGCTTGCCAGTCAGTCTGACCTGGGAATAAAGATAATTGCCTAGGGGATTGAGCCACCGCAAGTGTGCGAAATCTTGGAAGGTCACATTCCCCAGGCAAAGGAGTTCTTGCTCTCCTGTCCCTTTCGCTTTGCTCCTGGTTCCTCACGCTCATGAGTGCTCCCTCCACAGCCAGGTGGCCCTAGAAGCTACATGGCCCACGGCCATCTGGATCCCTCACACCGTGGGCTGCAGCTGGGAACACAGGCTAACCTGGCCAGATGCGGGACTGGACTGGGCAAACGTGGAGCAGAGACTCTGGCACTGGCTCTGACCCTAGCCCTGCTGAAGGCGAAATGGGACTTTTCCACGGCAGGACAGGGGGAGCTGGGACCTTGGAAACTCAGGGGTTTACTTCCACAGAAATAAAACTTTCCATAGATACCTCATCCTCTCAGAAATTCTTATTCCAGCGACACCCCACAAAGCCCGCTTCCACTGACAACAGGTGGGGACATGGACAGCACCTCACGGATAACAGATGCGGAGAGAAGATCATGGAAATGTCTAGCCGAAAGCAGGGGCTTCTAAGCCAACACTGAGGCCAGTGGAAGAGAAAATTCCAAGTACCGAGAAATGCAAAGCAGAGGCTATATGTCACCGGGGGAAATGCAGTGAACAGAAAAAACCAAGTTCATCTCATCGGGCCAATAATATTTACAGTCTGTGGGTAGTGCCAAAATATTTCAGGAAATGCCAATGTCTTTCTTTGTAAAGCAAGGCCAAGAGTAATATTTAAACACAGCGCCTATAAATCACTGGGGGGAACAGGCGAATGAATCCACATTTCCTCACTCTGCTTTACAGAGAATCTTAACCTCAAGATTCACGGTCAAGACAGAACTCCCTTCCCTCTCCGAAATTAATGATTTGCCATCGAATGTTCCTAAGTCAACATTTCTGAGAAGTTGCTAGGCCATCTTCTGTTAACAGTTCATGGCAATACGGAATGAATGAAAGCGATGGCTCCCACAAGGCTCCCTTTCATTTCTCTTCCTCATTTCCCACTGTGGCCTCAGCCACGGAGCCCCAACTACTTCCCAGAATCAGCCAAGTCAACGCTTCCTTCTGATCCGGATGGGCCAGGCAAAGGCAAAAGGCACACCCCACGTCCCCTCCTCCGAGCGGTACCTGTTCGGGCTTCAGCCCGGGGGGGACCCAGGCGTACTCCTCCAGGGCACAGCCCGAGTCGTCGTCCGAGGTGGAGTTCCTCTGGAAGTCGAACATGAGTTTGCTGACGGTCTTCTCCATCTCCAGGGGCATCACCGTCACCATGTGCTCCTCCTGCGGGCACTTGCAGTGCAGACAGATCTTCCTGCAAGCAGCAAAGGCAGGAGGTGAGGGCAAGGCCAGAACCCCCATTATTTTCCATCGGCCTGCCAGTCCCCAGCCCTTGGATCCCAAACGATATAAACACATTCCTTGGCAACTGCTTTTTGGCAAAAGCATCTAGGGGAGAGCCTAGCACAGCACGCTTGACTCCGTAGATGGCAGGCAGTGCGCATGTGCAGAGACCATGGAAGGTCAGAGGCACCACGTGAGCATGCTAAGGATTTTTAAACACGGACCCCAACCTTTCCTTCTAAGCCAGTTCCCCAAGAGGAATGTCAAACTATTTTTTGTTTCGGCAGGTAGAACGCTGGAGAAAGTTCATGACCACAATTTCCTTGACTGTAACAGTAATTAAACAGACATAATACATATGCTATTACCAGGAGACTTAACAAATACTGACAACATGCCATTTTTATAAAAGGTTCTTGGACCTTGGAAAACGAATGTGGCTTTAAAAGGAACTGCAGGTGAGATTTTCTTTAAGAAGAGAAAAAATTTTCCCCCCATTAAACAAATCTGGGCCCACGATTTTACGAGAAAGGCATTTTCATTTCCACTAAAGATCCCTGGAGGTTTGAAACTTTAATTAGAAACCCAAATCTTCCCTAAATTGATTGTTTTTATAATATACAAAGGAATCATGCAGGCGAATTCTTTCAAAAGGCAGCAGCCAATGATCAAAATCTCTTCTCCAAATTGAGCATTCCTCTTTAAGGTTTCATCTTTCCATTCTCCATGGCTACACAAACGATGAAGCAATAAAAAGGTTTATTCAGCAAACACAAAAGCATGTCTAGCATCCATCAATAAAACAGAGACGAAAACAATGGAGGAGGACATTTTAAGGAAAATAAGCTGTTATATGTATGCTCTTATCTTTATGATTAGTTCCGGTAGCAACTTACAAAGGCAACAAAGAGTCCGTCATTCTAATCCCACATGTGCCTGAATTTTATTGTATTTTACTTTATTTATTTATTTGGTGCCTGAATTTTTTTTGATAACAGCTTTAAGATATAATTTATATGCCATAAAACTCACCATTTAAAAGTGGCTTTGATCCTAGACACTTCTACTAATTTGGGGATTTTTTTTTCCCCCTCAGGGTTATTTTATGATAGAAAACATACTGAAGAGCAAGTAAGATACCCTCTTTTTTTTTTTTTTGCTTCATTCATAGGATTAAATATCACCAATTCTTGTTGCAGAGAAATGGGAACTTTTATTATTTATTTTACTTTACTTTAGAGAGAGGCAGAGGGGGAGAGAGGAGAGAGAAACGTTGAGTTGTTATTCGGCTTTCAGTATGTCCACAGAGTTGTGAAACTAACACCTCTGTCTAATTTTAGAACATTTTCATCACCCCCCAAAAATCCCGTGCACATTAGCAGTAACTTCCCACATTCCCTTTCCCCCAGGTCCTGACCAACACTAATCCATTTTCTATTTATATGGTTTTATCTATTCTGGAAATTTCACATAAGTGAAATCATATAATACGTAGATTTTAAAAACTGGCTTCTTTCATATAGTAATATCGTATTTTTAAGGGTCATCTATGTTGTAGCATGTGTCAATCCTTCATTGCCTTTTTATTGAAATACTAGAAGCCTGGTGCAGGAAATTAATGCATGGGGATGAGTGGGTTGTCCCTCAGCCCAGCCTGCACCCTCTCCAATCTGGGACCCCTTGAGGGATGTCCGACTGCCCGTTTAAGTGGGATTGGGCATAAATGGTCAGTCGAACATCCCTCTCATAATCCAGGACTGCTGGCTCTCAAACGCTTGCCTGCCTGATGCCCCAACCACTTCTGCCTGCCAGCCTGATCACCCCTAACTGCCCTCCCCTGCTGGCCAGGTCACCCTCAACTGCCCTCCCCTGCAAGCCTGGTCCCCCCCCCCCAACTGCCCTCTCCTGCTTACCCAGTCACCCCTAATTGTCCTCCCTTCAGGCCTGGTTGCCCCCAACTACCCTCACCTGCTGGCCTAGTCACCCCTAACTGCCCTCCCTTGATGGTCTGGTCACCCCTAATTGTCCTCCCCTGCAGGCCTGGTCCCTCCCCAACTGCCCTCCCCTGTAGGCCTGGTTCCTCCCAACTGACCTCCCCTGCTGGCCTGATCACCTACAACGGCCCTTCCCTGCCAACCATCTTGTGGTGGCCACCTTTGACTACATGGGGGTGGCCATCTTGTGTGTTGGAATGATAGTCAATTTGCATATTACCTCTTTATTATCCTATCTAATAAAAGAGAAACATGCAAATTGACCATATGCCCATGAGCCACGCCCACCAGCCACTCAGGAGCAAGTATGCAAATTAATCCAACCAAGGTGGCACTAATTTGCATATCCAGGTGCAGAACGAAGACTGAAGACAGCATAGAAAGAAGCCAAGTGCTGCAGAAGGGAGCAAAGCTGCAGAGAAGCAAGCAGACTGGGGTGGCGAAGGGAGGGAAGTAGGTAGGGCCGTGAAGACTGCTGCAGCAAGCCCTATTCTTGCAGGAATATTCCTGCAACAGCCTCTAGTTTAGAATAATATTCTATTGTATATTTTGTTTATCCATTTATCAGTTGGTGGGCATTTGGATTGTTTCCACTTTTTGACTTTTGTGAATTCATGCTGCTCTGAATATTTATGGACACAATTTTTTATTTATTTATTTATTTATTTTTGTGTGTGTGTGTGTGTGTATACATATGTTTTATATTCTCTTGGGTGGATACCCAGGAGTAGAATTGCTGGGTCATATAGCAACTTTAAGCTTAACACTTTGAGGAACTACTACACTTTTTTTTTCCGCAAAAAATATATGTACCATTTTACCATTATGTACCATTCCTACCATCAGTGAATGAGTGTTCCATTTTCTCTGCTTCTTCCCTATACTTGTTATTCTTTCTTTTTGATTATTGCCATCCTAGTGGGTTTAAAGTGGTATCTTACTGTGCTTTAGATGTGCACTTTTTAAGTAGCTAATTATGTTGAGCATCTTCTAATGTGCTTATTATCTCTTCTTTGTAAAAGTGTCTATTCAAATCCTTAGTTCATTTTTAAATTGTTATTTGTCTTTTATTATTAAGTTGTAAACATTTTTATATACATATATTCTGGATACAATTCCTTTATCAGATAGTATAGGATTTGCAAAAAATTTTCTCCCATGATGTGGATTTTCACTTTCTTGATGATGCTTATTAAAGCACATTTAAAAAAAATCTTGATGAAGTCCAATTTATATTTGTTTTCTGTTGTTGCTTGTGCTTTAAGTATCCTATCTAAGAAACTATTGCCTGACTTAAGGTCATAAAGATTTATTCCTATATTTGAATCTAAGAGTTTTATGGTTTTAACTCTTACTAGTATTTGTGGATCCATGTTCCATTTTGAATTAATTTTCATATATGACCTGAGGCAGGAGTCCAGATTCATATTCTTGTGGCTATCCAGCGGACCCAGGACTATTTGTTAGAAGTCTATTCTTTCCCCATTGAAGTGTCTTGGCATCCTTCTCAAAAATTAATTGATCATAAATTTAAAGGCTTATTTCTGGCCTTTCAATTATTCCATTGATCTGTATGTCTGTCCTCTTGCCAGTGTTACACTGTCTTTGTTACTGTTGCTGTGTAGTAAGTTTTGAAACCGTGAAGTGAGGCTCTTCCAAAACTGTCCCCCTTTTAAAAGGTTGTTTGATTCTTCTGCATCCCTGGCATTTGCATCATAACATATAAATTTTAGGGAAGTAACTTGCCAATTTCTGCAAAATGGTCCTGCTGGGAATTTGACAGGGATTGCATTGAATCTGTACACCGATTTGGAAACTATTGCTGTCTAACCAACAGTAAGTCTTCCAATCCGTGAATGAAGGATATCTTTCCATTTATTTCAGTATACTTTAATTTCCTTCGATGCTATTTTGTGGTTTTCTGTTATGTCTTGCACTTCTTTTGTTAAATTTAAGTAATTTATTCTTATTGATACCACTATGAATTTTTAAGTAATTTATTCTTATTGATACCTCTATGAAACTGCTTAGTTTCATTTTCTAGATTGTTACTGTATAGAAACACAAATGATATTTGTACATTGATGTTACACCTACCATCTTGCTGACCTTGCTTATTACTTTATTACTTCTAAGAGTGTGTGTGTTTCCTTCGGATTTCCTGTAGCCCAGACCCGTCTGATGTCTTTCTCTGTCTTGCTCTTGCCTCACTGCCTGGAGCATGCTGGCGATGAGAAGTGGCATGTGTGGGCATCCTGGGCGGACCCCTGTCCTCGGGGAGAGCAGCCAGTCTTTCACCATTGAGTATGACTTAGCTGCGGGCCTTCTGCCCAGGCCCTTTGTTAGACCGGACAAGTTTCCTGCTAGGCTAGTTTGTTGATGGTTGTTGTTGTCTTTATTCACAGAAGGGGGTGTTGGATTTGGAATGCTCTTTTAGCATCCACCTAGGTGGCCGGTTGGTTTTTGTTCTTAATCTATTAATACCGTGTGCCTGAATGTTGACACCCAAATGTTCCGAGAAAACAGAATCAGCTAATCCAGCCGAATTAGGCCTGTCAAGGTCTCCCACGTCCTGCTTTCTGTCAGATGGAAAATACAACAGCCAGCGTGCACACGTGGGTCTGGTTTGCATCTCCAAACCCAAAGATGTTTAATCGTATCCCTCTAACCCTCGTTCCTTTTAGAAACAGAGCTCATGTTAATAGTAACTAATTAATCAGCTACTTTAAAAAAAGTCAAGGGTTTGAGGAAGTCATCAGATTTCTTTTTTTCCTCTTAAAATCTTTATGCCAGCTTATGGCTTAAGAAAAAAGGTTTTCATGTACTAGAATTTAAGCAAAGTTAGGAAGTTCTTTGGCAACTAACAGTTTTTACTGGAAAGTCATACTTTTAAAACAAATGGTAGAGGATTTTTTTTTAACCCAATTAAACGTATTCAGCAGTGCAGGGAAGGGCACATATTTAATGTGGACGGATG